AAATTACTTTCTGGCTATGTTGAGCAATTATAAAATTTTTGAAATGCAATTTTAACATAGCTATAGCTTAAAGTTTACAGCCAACAAATCATTAGCACCATTAAAACAACAAAAACGCTATTAATTATATCAACGGTAGACAATGGAGACCTCGGCTCTCCATTTGTTTTTGTAAAGCACATAACTCCAGTCTCTGACCAATATATATATGCCTAGAGAAATGGGAAAGTATATCTCTATATTCAACCTATAAATGTTTATGGATTGTACGCCTATTAGTTATTAAACTGTTATTTTCCATTGTAAAGTATACTACATATAAATTACGAGATTTTCACTGCATGTCATAGATAGGTCAAAAGTTGTCACATTAATTTTAAGTGAATAATATTTGAATTCAGGGATGTCCAGAAGAGGATTTCATGGCGCAAGTTGCGCCATCAAAATTTTTGAGGAGGCACATCTTGATCGGGTTTTGTAGTTTAGGTAGGGACACATTTCGACGGAGTTATGAATTTTTGGAATGAAAAGTTTCAAACCAGGGAACTAAGAGAAAACATGTGACGGACTGCTGTAAGTTTAATTGTATACAGTCTAAGATTTTTTAAATTCTATTTTAGCTTGCACTGTTTTTAAGAAGAAGAAAGCAATAAAATATCTTGGGGGGAGGGGGGGGGTATTCTTGAGCCATTGGTCTTGGGGGAGAGGATGGGCAACCTTGTTGGGATTTCACAAAGGGAAAATTCACCAAATTATTCACTAATTTAATTTTTTAAAACGTTACATGGCGATTTATCGGAATAAACGGACGTTGATACCTAGTTATTTAAATATAATATTAGATCTAGAGTTATTAAACTACAATAAATGTATTTAAGGTTATAAAGTTATGCTTTAAACATCCATGAAATATTTGTGTATCTCACTTCTTCTTTCACATAAGTACTATGAAATAGTTTTTTAAACAATGGCATTACCTTGATTTGGTGAATTTTAAATACTTTTTTGAAACATAAAAAAAGTTTACATTTAGTTAGTAAATTTCATTCAATTTCCTTGAAAACATGTGATTTCCATTAAATAATATTAATTCTCACAAATTGTTAATTATAATTTTTCGTCATTCTCCATTACTTTCTACGACTTTCTATTTTAGATATTGTTTTTCCTAAAATTCTCCGCTATCCAACGGTGTGTTATATTATATTATAAGTATACCTTCTGACTAGTATTTCCGGAAATTCATTTTCGACCTAAATAAACATTTTCCCCTTTTTCTCCATTTTTCAATTATCAAATTCTTTCAAAAGTTATATTTAGCATTTTTTCGTAGCTCTTGATAATGAGATATGGTTAATTATCTAAAATAAACCAAATTAAAGGTACTTAGAGGTATTTAGAGGAAGACGTGTTAAACATTTAAGAAATGTAAAGTGACATCAATGGGGATAAGACCTCAATGATATTAAAGGCCTCTTAATTATACAATGATACACCGAGTTTAATCGTTGGAACCGTTTTTGAGAAAATCTTAAAAATGTGTATAACCGTTGATATGAAGTGTCACTTCCGGTTAGTCAATTTTAAAGAAAAAATTGCTGTCGCACACCTATATTAAATACTTAATATCAGTTTCGTACGACTTTTCGTTTTTGAGCTAGACTTGCCACAAACTTGTACATACACACAACAGACACACGACCATTTTGCGGGTCTTGGTTCTTTAGACTGAGGAGACCTCAAAACTTATATTTCCGTTGAAAACTCAGATTCGAAAATTTTCACTATCGTAATACTTTCCCTTACTATATATTGCATATATAGGTTAGTGATAGTAAAAATTGCATAAATATAATTTATATTTATAAAAAAAATTTAAATAATGAATTTTCAAGTATTTTTCATGTAAAATAGTTATGAAACTGAGCTCACCCGAGCACGCCCGAAAGATTAGACCAGACTTCTGTACGTGAGATAAGCTTAATATACTACGGACTCCAACAATATTTTTTACATATATATATACGGTTATGTAAAAGCTACCGTTATCATCAACATCATCCGAGGCGCTACAACTCCGGTAGAGTCAAGTCTTCTCTATCGGTTGCCGCTGCTCTCCAATTGCGGATTCCCAAGATGGGGCTGGCATCCGCTGACACTCCAGCGATCCATCGAGGTCTTCTCACTCTTCTTGTCCCATTAATCCTTTCGTCTAAGACCATCCTAGGAATCTGATCCTGGGCCATTCTAAGTAAATGACCTGCCCATCGAAGCCGGCCCACTTTAATAAGAGCTCTTTTAGAGTCTTAGAGAGCATACAAACTACCGTTGGTATTGTTAAATATTTAATTGTATAGATTACAGCGATATAAAAATTAAAAATGTATACATACCGGTTCTTAAACAATAAAAAATACCCACAATGAAATATATATATCAATCGATTGATTTGTTTGTGAAAAATATTAACTATGGTATTAAATGATTTATGAAGTACCTTAATTACCAAAAACTAAAAGGTGCTTTCAGTAGAGTAGGGCAAGTAAATTTACCTTTAAATAAAGCATTCATAACTTCTAAAGATTTTCTCTAATTTCAACATCAGTACAACCGTTGAAAAGTTGAATTAATGCTCTTTCAAACCATATCAACAAGTTTTGAATTTCATTCTGTTTTAAGCTAGAAATTAAAAAAAAAACTTCCCAAATATTTTTTATTCTATATCTATGGATTTCGAATTTGTACCATTTCGTGTAACATATAAAGCTCTACATACCTAACAATTTTCGAATGAATCGGTGGAGACATGGTGAGGTTATCACGATTTATATGGTTGTCAATAAAATTTCGAAGGGTCCAGCCTAGACTAAAATCCTTCTATTTTTTCTACTCACCTGTTCTGTTTTTTCAGCCTTGGCTAAAATTATGAGCAGAAAATTTAAATTTTTCGATTGCTATGAAAATTCGTATTTGAGGATTTTTCAAGATGTGAAAAACGAATATATTTTTTTGGTAACTAAGATACTTCATAAATCATTTAATATCATAGTTAATATATTTCACAAACAAATAAATCGATTGATATATAATAATCTGAAACTCCGTGCAAAGCAAATGCAAAAATTAATAACATAAATTTTGTTTACAATTATATAAAATATTTCCTATCATAGTACCTAGGGTGCATTGTCCCTAGAGAAGAACCCTCCATTATGGATCTCATATGTTTCCACCAAAAAAGTTTCATTGAAATTGGTGACACCGCCCCCGTAACTCCCCTTGTAAGATTTTATTTATTATATTTAAAATAAATAACTGAAAATTTTGAATTTTAATACATCACATTAATTCATAGATTATCTAAAAGTCAATCAAATTGACTATATTTAATCATTTGTTTATACTTTTTTTTTAATGCAATATTGAAACATTTTTCCCTGTTGAAAAATTAAACGAGAATTTAAATAACTCCCAACCTTTATTTTACAATTAATTAATACACAATTTGTATTCTTACCGTTATCCTTTCGCATTTCTCAAAATCGTTCGATTTTTCCTACTCACTTGTTCTGTTTTTTACTTTCAGTTACCTATCTATGCAATATATAGAAAGGGAAAATACTGCGATCGTGAAAATTTTCGAGTCTGAGTTTTCTCGTCTCCTGAGTCCAAATAACCAAGTCCCGCAAAATGGTCTGTATGTGTGTGTGTGTGTGTGTATGTATGTTATCATTCTAGCTAAAAAACAAAAAGTCGTACAAAAGTGAAATTGTATATTTAAGCTTTCGATGTTACAGCAACATTTTTGTCAAAATCGAGGTACTTTATATAATCGACTCAACACATTTTTACAATTTTATCAAAAACGGCTCTAATGATTTTGATTAAACGCAATCAGTGTATTATTAAGTAGTTTTTAATATAATGTAGCTTTCATTCTCATTGATATTCTCTATCAGTGCTTAAATGGCTAATTTTCAATATTGGCTTCCCTAAAGTACCTTAATTTTTTTTATTTGAAATAATTAACCACTTCAGATAAATATTTGATATAAAAAATAGTTAAATATAAAGCATGAAAAAATTTGATAATTAACTAGAGGAGAAATAAGAGATTGTAATGGATAATAGTTGTTATAATGTTTCAATTACGTAACATCAGCTTCATATAATATGGACTCCGACAAAATTATGTTCATATACATATGCGGTTTTCATAAATTCTATCGTTGGTATTATTTAATATTTAATTGTGTAGAATACAGTGATATAAAAATTAAAATTTGTATATATAAGGATATTTAAACAAACAAAAATTCCCACAATGAATTGTAAATAAATATAGCGTCAATAATTTTTACTTTCACTTCCCCTTGGTCTGAAAATACTTATTTCTGCTAAGAGAGTGGTAAGTGAAAGTCGTGTGATGCGAGCACCGGATTTTTCAGCTTATGTTTGAAAGTAAAGGGCTAGTCCAAGTAAAAAACATTGATTAGTCCGGATAATCGACGCTCTGCTGAATAAAAATATTTTTATGTATGTTAATGTAACATTATATGAGTGGCTTCATATCAAAGACGGACATCTGTCATTTTCAGAAAGTGCAGAAAAAGTCAATTTTTTTATTTTTTTATTTAAGTATATTAAAGTTTAATATTCAACGAAAATCATCAGAAACAGTTTGAGTTGAACCTACAAAACAAAAATTGGCTTTTCTCAAGGTTTTCAAAATGAGAGATGTCTATCTTTGATATAAAGCCAATCATATAATATTTAAGTTTTAATGTACTTATATTTCACATGAAAAGAGACTATTATTGATGTAGCATGAATGTAGATGTTTGTTGAAGTTGGGTGTACAACATCTTCTTCAACCTTTGTATTCCGATTTAGACAATATATAACGGTTTTAATGACAGCGATCTAAATTACATTTAAGCGGAACTGGCCGAGATAGTACGAGACGTGCCGAAGGTGATGGATTAATACAATAGACACAACTGAGACGCCGTAGTCTTGTAGCGCCGAGTCAGTATGATGGAATTATTACTAGAAACGAAGCTAACCAAATGGCTTGGTGTATTTATGCTGTTCAAGTTGTGCCTAGCAATATTTCCAACAATTATTCGGAAAATATATTTCCTTTTAATAACTGCACACAGAGTTGATATAAGGAACTTCGGTGAGTGGGCAGGTGAGTTATCATTAAAATTTACAGTTTAACACATATTTAGTTAGTAATCAAGCAATATATTTTTCAAGGGTACTTTAATATAACCATATAAGGTATTTCCAAAGGTATGAATTACCAATTGACTTCCGCTATTTAGTTATGTCATAACAATGTTTCAAGCCAATTGGCTCATTCTCTAGTTCTATTATGCTTTCTTCAAGTTATGCGAAAAAAATAAATGATATCTTACTTCCCGGGCAAATTCTTTTATTAATCTCGTTTTTTTTCTTAACATATTCAACGTTTCGGGGACTTATACAAAATATATATATATATAACATTATATATTTTAAACTAATTATTTTAGTGGGAATAAGGTCACTTAATAATTATTCAACAAACCACTAAATGTTTATTGCTTTTGTGTTTATTCGAAGTTTCGATCCCGGTTTTTTATAAGTTAACAATGGGATCCCCTTCAAAGCTAGAACAACAAATAGCTCAGTCGGTACATAATTATGATCCATATGTTTCTAATAGCAATATTTCAAAATTCAACCTACTTTTAAAATAGATGCCGGATACCTGAGGCCACTAGCGGATCCAGGATTTAATTTTGGGGGGGGGGCTTCAGCCCGAAACCTTTTTTTTCATAAAAATAACGATAATTACTTTGGAAAAACAGAAAGAAACTAACTACCTATATGAAATGGTGTTTAAGTTATTCCTTAAGTACTTTTAAATGTAATTACATGAACAATATTACTTTAAGAGGTATTTTTAAAAAAAAAGTCCCATAAAACATGGTTATATTTTTCCATTTTGGGGGGGGCTTCAGTCCGAAAGCCCTCCCCCCCCCCCGTAGATCCGCCCGTGCCTGAGGCCAGGGACACACCGGCAGCCTCAGGACCGTCCACCAGGACATATATTAATCTACTGGGTCGCTAAGCGTCTGCCCACCTCTGTTCTCAGCCCGAATTTTACAAATATCAACAAAGAGGTTGCCATAAAATCAATCATAAAGCGGTGGAAAACAATCGCAACAGTTACGAAAATTCCAAAATAAATTACTTATTTACGTAATATAATTATATCTGGATGGTTAATATTTTGTCTATAATAATAATTATTATTAATAGATAATGGGTCATCTAATGGGACTTTCGATTTCCCCCATACTTGTAGATTTCGTAATGGATGATTTAGTAGATGAGATACTTTCGAAAATTTCTCTACAGGTGCAATTTATAAAAAAATACGTAGATGATATGATATGAAGTGTCCTCGCTGCATGTATAAATAATATTTTAATATATTTCAATGTGGACCCATATATAAAATTTACAATGGGAATTGAGGAAGACAATTCCATTACATTTTTAGATACAAAAATATACCGGCCTGGGAATGATGAAGAATATCGTGGTATGAAAGAAAAAATCATGGAGGTCGAATTTAAAATTTTAAATCATGCCACGATTTAAGTATAAAAATTAATACGGCGGAAAAGCTATTTGATAGAGCTATGGATCTATGTTCAGTTTCTTTTAAAGAAGAAAATAAAAAAAGAATAAAAGAAATATTGAAAGACAATAGTTACCCTAAGAGCGTAATTGAAAAGTGCCTGCGAGGAGCGTATAACTGCTTGGTCACGCCATCAGAATAAGCAGAACAATCCAAAAAAATATTTTTCGATGGAATTCATAAAACTAGAAAATGTTATTTATGAATTAAAATGTTCAAATTGTGACGGAAAGTACGTCGGACAAACCTCACAGTACTTATCTAGGAAGGTTTATGCGCATAAATATAGCATTGAAAGCAAAAAAGAAGATACGGCGTTAGCTATTCATCCTATTAAGAAGAGTTCGATAAAGTCAAGATACTAAACATATAAAAGAATCAGCAATAACGGTTGATTCTAGAGATGAGCACATTTGAAGGACCAAAAGCGTAATAAATACCTGGAATAATTTGGTGAAATAGAATTGTGCGTATAGCAATATTTTAAAATTTGTATAATTTAGATGAGGGATTTCGTTTCATTTTTGGTCTGGTTGCTGTGTTTATTTGGTGAAGGTGAGAATACAATTAGAGAATGGGAACTGTAGTAAAATTATTTTTAATATTGTTTCATGATTTTATTATGTTAACAACGTTTTATAAGATGACTAGTGTACATGTATTTCAAGTAGTTAATATTTATTTATGTTTTTAACAATTTTAAAGTAGTTGATATTTATTTATATTTGTAACAATTTTAAAGTTAGTTCGATGAAATATATATATATATATATATATATATATATATATATATATATATATATATATATATATATATATGCGTGTGTGTGTGTGTGAGTGTGTGTATATTTAATGGTAATTAATTTTGATATGTTAATTTATAACGTTAATTTATAACGTATTTAAGAGTTGTTATACAAGCTAGTTTTGTTGTTAAAACAAAAATGAAAGAAGTAAAACGTACATAGAAGTAAAATATAAACATAGAAATAAGAGACCATACATTCCAGAACTAACTTAAAAGTATAGAGAGGGGGAAAAATGAATGTAAGAAAATTACATTTAAATATTAGATAATATTGAGACATGGTTAAAAAGTAAAATGAATACAAAGTGAAAACGGATGATCATACATTGATGTAGAACGTAAATATAAAATTAAAATAAAATAAAAGAGCGATCATACAAAGCGGTAAAACTTAGAATAATGAACAATTATATTGAATTAATCATTAAAATTGAAAGTAGATAAAAATAAAAATAATAGGATGTAATATATAAGCTATTTTTCACTTATAAGATTTAAAATGTGTCTATATGTTAAAGAAATGCAGTTTTTATCTACTTTATGATTAACAGGATTCTGTTCCATGTGAATGTGGATGGATCCGGAAATGAGTCTTTTTTCATGGTTAGGGATCGTGGCAAGAATAGAGTTTTTTTCAAAATCAAATGAATGGTTGAGGCTTAAGGTATGTTCTGATAGTTTGGAGGCGGAAGGGTTCCGGGAAGTTATGGATGTTTTATGTTGGGAAATGCGGGTTTTGAGATGGTATTTGGTTTCACCAATATAGGAGCTGTTACAATTAGGACATAACTTCCCGGAACCCTTCCGCCTCGAAACGATCAGAACATGCCTTAAGTCTCAACCATTCATTTGATTTTGAAAAAACCTCTATTCTTGCCACGGTCCCTAACCATGAAAAAAGACTCATTTCCGAATCCATCCACATTCACATGGAACAGAATCATGTTAATCATAAAGTAGATAAAAACTGCATTTCTTATTATTTAGACACATTTTAAATCTTATAAGTGAAAAATAACTTATATATTACATCCTATTATTTTTATTTTTATTGATCAATTCAATTTAATTGTTCATTATTCTAAGTATTTCCGCTTTGTATGATCTCTCTTTTATTTTATTTTAATTTTATATTTACATTCTACATCAATGTATGATCATCCGTTTTCACTTTACTTTTTAACTATGTCTCAATATTATCTAATATTTAAATGTAATTTTCTTACATTCATTTTTCCCCCTCTCTATACTTCTAAATTAGTTCTGCAATGTATGGTCTCTTATTTCTATATTTATATTTTACTTTTATTTTTGTTGTTGATAAAGATATGTTCTTGATGCTGTTATATTTATCATGGATGCATTTTTCAATTGCTTTATATAACATAGATGCAATTTTCATTGTTTTGTATGAAATAATTTGCCTTCGGGCTGAAGACAGGGGTGGGCAGGCGCTTAGCGACCCAGTAGATTAATGTATCTGCTGGTGAACGGTCCCTGGCCTCAGATATCCGCCATCTATTTTAAAAGTAGGTTGAATTTTGAAATAATTGTTATTTGAAACATATGGAAGCATTATTGTGTTCCGATTGAGCTATTTGTTGTTCTAGATTTGAAGAGGATCCCATTGTTAACTTATAAAAAGCCGGGATCGAAATGTCGAATAAACACAGAAGCAATGAACATTTAGTAGTTTATTGAATAATTATTAAGTGATCTAATTCCCAACTAAATAATTAATTTAAAATATATAATATTATATATATACACTGACAGGCAAAAAATTCCACCCACTTGATTTTTTCATGTTTTCATCTAAAAATATTTCTGCTTTAGATTGGTCTATCGTTTTTAATGAATAAATAGGTAATATTTTTGTTTGTTTTCAATTAGGAATGTTAATGCCATCGGAGTTCCATATGAAACTTTACGAGACGCCGTCAGGCGTTTTCGGGAAACTGGTTCTTACAATAGAAGGTCCGGTTCTGGACGGCCTCGGGTAACAGAACCACGGGATGACCAGTTTTTCACGTTGAGAATTTTACGAAACCGGCACCTTACCGTTGTTCAAGCGACTCATCAGCTCGAAGAAGTTCGAGGTGTGCAAATTTCTGAACGTACCGCTCGGAGAAGATTAAATGAGTATGGATTAATGTCTTTTTGTCCAGTAACAGGACCAGAATTGACCAGAACTCACAGAGTGACACGGTTTATATTTGAACACAGCCATTGGATTATGGACGAATGGAGTGCTGTACTTTTTACAGATGAGTCAAGATTCGCTCTTCGATCTCCAGACGGGCGTGAAAAGGTGTGGAGAAGAAGAAACGAAAGATATGCAGCCTGTAATTTTTCCCAGAACCAATCTTTCCAACGTGGTTCCTTAATGGGTAACAAATGGGTGGATTTTTTTGCCTGTCAGTGTGTATATATAATTATAAAAAAATATAGATGATATGTAGGATAATATTTAGGATCACTAGGAAATAGAATATTCCTCAGGATGGGACAGAGCCGTTAATTATGTAAGAGAAAAGCATGATTAATAAAAGAATTAATCCCCAGGAGGAAGATATAATTATTTTTTTCACATCTCTTCAAACTCCTTCGTGCATAGTGCGCTCCATTAAGTTTTCATTTTCCATAATTCTACTGTCTCTCAATACCAAAAATAAAAAACAATTCTTTCCCATAACATTTTATTTACATCCAATAAAATGGATGTCAATTCATAATTATATTCATATTCATAACATTAGATTTATGAATTGACTTGCATTTTATTTTGTGTTTATGTGTCAAAAACAAAAAGATGTACGTCACTGAAAATATATATTTAAGTAAGTCGTATTTATGGGGTGTCACAGCAACTTTTTGGTAAACATTGTTTTATATCCTCACCTTGCATGTGGTGGGGTTATCACACTTAATCCAACTAGCTTTTCTTGAACCCTAAGTGCTTTCATAACTTTAAGTAGATAATTCATATTGAGGCTATCGTATGCTTGGTTCACATTGATGGAGACGTAGGCGGTGGAGATCAATATTGTATTGAGCATTTGTAGAATGGAGAAGATATGAGCTGTTATAATTCCTGGTCGAAAGTCACTTTGGTATTCGCCAGTATTTTTTTCTGCCTGTGTCATAATTCTTCTGTTTATTGTAACTGAGAGAACCTTGTAAAAAGTGGACAGTATGGCATTACCTCCATAGTTTTGGCAGGTTGACTTATCTTTATATATATATATATATATTGATTAAATTGCGTATTTAAGGCAGATATATGTCTGGAATGTTTGTCCCACAGATATAAACATATCATAAATTTTTTATTCTAGTGGTGACTGGATGTACTGATGGTTTAGGAAAAGCATTTGCTAACGAATTAGCAAAAAGAGGACTTAATATCATTCTTATTAGCAGAAATGAAGAGAAGCTTAAAAATACAGCTGACAAAATAGGTAACCAAACAAATCACGCCTGAAAATATTTTTACATGTTTTCTTATATATATATATATATATATATATTAATATTAAGGACAACTTCAAGATTAAAAAAGTAAAATATAATTTTTTAGAAGAAGAACATAGAGTTAAAACATTGTGCATTCAAGCAGACTTTAAGAAGAGAGACTGCTACAGCAACATAAAAAAGGAACTTATTGGAAGGGACATTGGTATTTTAGGTAAGATTTGTAGGTTTTGAGTATTATTAGAATATCAATTAACAGTGCAATAATCAATTACAAAACATAAAGAATGAAATTATTCATAATCCGTTGTTTTTATGATCTCTGAATAATCTTCTGATATGATGGCTTTACATATGTTTTCAATGTTTTCTTAGGAAATTAATTAGCTAATTAATAATTAATTAAGTCATTAACGTCTCTGATTTTCAGGATTTCTATTTATTAGTCATTTAAAGCAACATTCATCAGAAGCTTCATGACTTTAAACCATTTGTTGCATACATATGTTTAGTAACTGGTTTTTAAGCTTTAATTTCATTACAGCAATTATATAAATATTGAAGGAAGTTAGTCGACTGTTCTACATATAATGGCTGATAAACATTCAGGATGCAGTCATCATAAAGTTTTTATTAGTGCCAACGTTTCAACCCAAACATGTGGTTCATCAGGTTGTGCTTCGAGCACTGAAGGTATTCAAGTGAATACCTGAAAGTCCACTTGAAAACCTTCAGTGCTTGAACCACGCCCTGACGATGACCCACATGTTTGGGTTGAAACGTCGGCACTAATAACTCTATAATGACTGCGTCCTGAATATTTGTTACCAATGATAATATAAATATATATAACGCAAATAGAGTAATTGCGTAATCGAGTTTTTGAAATGATTCAACAGTCTTCATAGATCTGTTATTATTTCCTGGTGATTTCTATCATATTTTATTAGTACTTTACCTGATACTAGATAGTTCATCTAACCTCTTCTTTTTGAAGTTAAAAATTACATTATTTTAGAGCATATAGAAATTAATAAGTTAATAGATGAAATTATGAATTGATAATTTGATAAATGACATACATAAGTACTTAGTTTGGGGCCCATATCTATTATGGAGTACATCGGCAAGTGGAGTTGGAGTATCGGATGGGGGCCGCCCCCTCCCCTTTTCTTTTCTTAGGCTAAAAGGTAGTTTTGGTAACTCTTTCGTTAAAGATTTTTATCTTAATTTTTGTAGTTTGAAATAGCTTCATAAATCTTATAACTGTTTGCGTTTTAAAGTTATTGGGGAAGGTTAATTAAACCTTCCAATATCCTTCCACAATCACCTTAGTCCTCAATCTAAATTTTATGGAAATGTAATAGGTTAAAAAAAAAAATGAGAATAATAAAGGTTAAACAACAATTCTCAACTGAGCTTAAACCTTTTTTTAGTTTTTTGTAATAATAATTTTCAGCGGCTAATTAGGTGAAAATATAATAAAACTTAAGAATTTTAAAATTAAGATACTCTTTCGACGGATAATATAGTTTTTTTTTAAATTATATTTATTCTTGAACCTTTAGTTCCATATTATATAATTATTATAAATCTATAAATTTAAACAATAGTGCCTTCAACTTTTCTTTATGCAGCGAAATTCGGGGCTTAAGATACTTAAAAACTAGAAATATTTTATATTTGTCATGATACCACAGGAGAAATTTCTCAAGCATTTATATCGCTGGCCAAGATCGACTATAAATTACATAGTTAGATTAGAAACTGGTCACTCACCAATTTTGATAGCAGTTTAAAAAAAAATTATAAATGTTTGGGTAAAAGTAACAGCACTACCAGAACATCGGTTGCCTCATAAGTGTCTGGATAGACTGATGGCTATGGATAATAGGGATCCAATCCTTGATTTTAATTGGGTCTCACAAGTTAAAAAAATAGCCTTTTCCTATTATGTTGAGGAATATTTCAACGATTTTTCTGACCAGAAAATAATTGGGCCATACTCCCATAGTTTCATTGTATTTAAGTCAATAAATATATTATCTACCTATCTAATTTAAACAGCTAGGAATGGTTATGAGGAAATATTTAATAAGATATCAAACTTCATAAAAATAAATGTCTAAAAGTCAGTTTTTAAGGATATAAAGTAAATTAATGGTAATTATAGAGCAGACAGAACAAACTAAACTCATTGAAAACAATTACAGCGGAAAGTCGTAATATCGTGGCATAATGGGAACATGAAAAATTAAAAAGATACTATACTTGAACATTAACACACGAACATCCATCAAGTATAAATAAAATATTTGGCTTTTATCCTCTACTGGTATGAATCACAATGAACCAAGGCGGATATTATAAAAACAATTTGATTCAAAATTCATGAGAAAGTTTGGGAATCATTGGTCACTACATGGTTTCAAAAAACTCTAACTTGTCAGGCATATTAAACCATGGACATTCAACACTGATAATACTTAGGCTATAATTGGAAAAATCCATCCACAGAGCCTCCTATCTCAAAATTCAGATGAAACATACTAACTCGTTAACTTTGCATGCCATATAAACAAGTCCACTCAAGGGCAAAAGAAAAACCTAGTGTCCGTAGTGGCCGTGGATGCGTTCCCTTGGCAGGCGAAGTTGGTCAGCGACAAACATTTTTATTTCTAATTTTGAGTTTTTCCAAAATAGTTTAAACCTATCCTGAATAAAACTGTATCACCCAGGGACAGTAAAAAAATGTTTGTCAGCCGGAAGTGGTCGCGTTTCGCCAGTAGACGTAACCATCCGCTTTCCTTTAAGGTTTATTAATTTTATGATGAAAGAAATCTTTTCTAAATAAAACTATTCCAACCAGAGGCAAAAAAAACTTTTCAAACCGGATGTGGTCGCGTTTAACAGGCAAGCGTAGGTAAGTAAAAAACCAACGTCTTTCGTTCATAATTAAACTGATTTAATGATGGATCTAACCTTTCTTAATATTAATAGCGTTCCCATAGACAAAAAAAAAAAGAAATCTGAAAATCGGAATCGCCCGCATTTCGCTGGCAATGGTGGTAATACTCATGGCAAACGCGAGTCAGAAATCCACTTTTTTGTTTTACCCCTAGACCCATTTGAAGATGGATGAAACCTTTTTGAAATAAAACAAATCCGTTCAAAGATCGCAAAAATAAAATGATAATAATATTAGCTGACATTGATGTAAAAACGAAATCTGCCTACCAAAAGCGGCCGCGTTCGTCTGCAAACGTAATTCAAAAACCACCGTACTAGCTTCAAAATTATATTCAAGATAAATAGAACATCAAATAAATGAAACTATTACCTTATGTTGGGATAATTGTAATTCTTTTATTACATTTATTTATATTATATTATTATTATTATTATAACCCATTGGTAGCACTCTAATAATATATCTACATAAGTTTTTCACGAGGCCATCTTCTTTTTTAGACGCCTTAGAGGTTTATCAGATTTCGAAGAGGAAGCAAGGTTTGAAACAAGAGGGTTCGGATGGTTTTGAAGTTTGTTATGGAAGGATAGGTATCTGGATTGAGCTAAATCGGAAAAATATGGTACGTTAAAGTCGTTATGGATGATTTTATTTGTGACAAAGTAAGGAGCATTGAGGATTTTGGATTGTAAGGATTGGATACGAGAGGAATTCGATGGTTTAGTGATTAGTAGGCTAGTCCCTATCTTTCTTCCCAAGCAAACCACAACGTGACATTTTTTTTTTTTTAATAAGGGTGTCAAAGCAAACATACCTGGGTACGACCTGGCGCAGGCGGATCTACGGGGGGGGGGGGAGGCTTTCGGGCTGAAGCCTACCCCAAAATGGTAAAATATAACCATGTTTTACAGACAAAAATATTAAAAACTATCTCTTAAAGAATTCTTGTTCGTGTAATTATATTTAATAGGACTTCAAGAACCACTTAAACACCATTTCATATAGGTAATTAATTTCTTTATTTTTTTTTTCAAATTAATTATCGTTATATGTATATGAAAAAAAAATCTTTCGGGCTGAAGCCCCCTCCAAAATTAAATCCTGAATCCGCTAGTGGGGCCTGGCATGGGTAAGAATTTTTTATTTTTTTTTTAATATTACAATCTGTTTCAAAGGACAGATTTATAATAGTGTTCAGAGATCACATTCACACTCTTTGCACAATAAACAAAATAAATTGTAAAGAAAAATAATACATATGCTATAGAACACATACATACCTATATACACTATTAACAATCAGGCGACAGAACTCCAAACTAGACTTGTCTCTCCAAGTGTGGAGGGAAAAGCATGGCTCCAGGAGATCCCAGCACTTCTCTCTCAACCGCGTCACTGGGGCTAAACCCAGTGGAGATTAAGCAAGAGTGCTTTAGCCACTTACACTCATGTCGTGAGTGGAGTATCTGGCCATTGCCAGAACTTCAATATTTACAAACTATAAAAGGTTACGGGGCCACTACCGTTTTAACCTTCTAGGAGGATTATAGTGATGGGTGGTGCTGCATAGGGATTGTCAAAGCGATTTGGATGATAGGTTAGGTTCTCATCAGAACTTGGAGAATTATGCTGGAATAAGGTCTAGAACAAATGGGATATTAAGGTCATGGTGTAGGGGTTTGTTGGTTACATAGAAAGGAGCATCGACTATTGTTTGAAGGACTTTTGACTGGAAGGATTGTATGCGCGTGATGTTAGAAAATTTTTTTCACGATTAAGTTTCTAAAACTTATTTTTCAAATTTTCTACAATACTATTACATCGAGGTTACAAATAAAGTAAAAAAAAAATGTTGATATAGAATATGGTTTAAAATCGGGATAACTAGGTTAAGGAAATAGAGCTTAAATAATCGTATCAACGCAGTCGATTTCTTTAATTTATTTGATATATATTTATTTTAATTTATTATTTGAAGGTGATGTGTTGGCATTTGAATTCATTTACTTTAATACGATATTTATTAAGAGGATGTAAAGGACGGGACTCAATCCGCTACCTTGAGGAACACCAGCCTCAATTGGATAACCATTTGAAAATTCAGTGCCGCAGCTAACTCGGAAGGTACGATCTGGGAGGTAGGAACGGAGGACAAGGTATAAGGACTAAGGCAGATGGGTTTTAAGTTTGAAAAGAAGAACGGGGTGCAATACCCGGTCAAAAGCTTGAGCTATGTCCAGAAATGTACCCGAGCAATATTGCTTGCTTTCCAGGGCTGCGGAAATATGATCGACCACTCGAAGTCCTTGTTGGACTGTGGAGTGTTGGGTACGGAATCCGAACTGGGGTGAAGGAAGATTTTGATATTCTATAAAGGGTAGGATTCTTTTCAGGAGGATCTTTTCAAAGATTTTTGAGTGGATTGGTAGTAGACTAATTGGTCTGTAGGACGTAGAGGTATTGGGAAGTTTGGCTGGTTTCGGAAACAGAATAATAGTGGAATGTTTCCACAAAAGAGGAAAGTAAGTGGTTCGTAGGATGTTATTGTATATGTATGTAAGGAATATGACAGCTTTAGAGGGAATTGTCTAAGGATCTGAGAGGTAAGAAGGTCGTATCCAGGTGATTTGCGGGTAGGTAGTTTTTGTAAGTGGTATTTGACCTCAGAAGGATTAACTGCTTTAGGCGGTAAGGAGATTGGGGTGGGTGAATTAATGAATTCCTCTACTGCTGGCGTGTGGGTGTGGTTGGATGAGAGGTGAATGTAAGGGAAAGGTGTTTGGTGAATTCCTCGGCTCTATCTTCGTCAGACAATGTCCAAGAGCCACCACCTCGACGGAGAGGATGTGATATATGCTGGAGTTTTAGGATTTGTTAAGTGATTTTCCATAAGGAATTGTCATGAAAAGAGAGGGAAGTAAGGTCTGGTTGAAGGATTGGGATCTGAAGGTGGCCAATTCGAGCTTTAAATTATTTCAGAAATAATTATAGGGTTGACGATCGGTGGGGTGTCTAGTACGTTGCCATAATAATCTGGCACGGCGTTTGGTGTGGATTAGGTCTATGAGGTGTTGAGGTAACTTATTTTTCTCGAGAGATCTTGAGGAGTGGTTTGGAGAGAAAGCAGTCCAGATTGTTTGTTAGATAGTGGTGGTAAAAAAATGTACGGTATTGTAAAGGTCTTCAGGTGTTTTCAGAGTTATTCTGAGGTAAATTTCATCGGAAAGGATTTGGTGAAAGAGTTTCCAATTAACTGGGCCTCTGATAAAGGACGGTGGAGAAGACTTAGAAATAGGAGCTAGAGATAATTGGAGTAATAATGGACTATGATCTATGGATAGTTCGGCAAGATGGGTAAGGGAATGATTGAGGAGACCTAAGCCATTGTGGATGAAAAATCAAGGATATCGGGATTGCGGTTAAGTTCTGTGGGCCAGTAGGTAGGTGAGTTAGGAGGAAGGAGACTGAAACGTTGGGAATGGAGTGCAGATAGCAAAGTTCTACCACGAGAATTTGTGGTTCTAGAACCCCATTGTTGATGTTTGGCGTTTAAATCTCCACCCAGGATGAAGTGATGTTTTAAGGAGTTGAGAAGAGAACTAAACTAACATTGGATATGAATCTGTTAGGAGGGCAATATGCTGATGCAATTGCGACAGGAAAGGAAAAGGTTTTGATTACGATAGCGGTGGATTGTAGGAAATCTTGAGCCGGTAAGGGGAGCTAGTGATGAGAAAGGGAGTGGTGTACAATAACAGCAGTACCGGCATGTGCTTTACCGTCAGGATGGTCAGTATGGTATGTTATGTATTGAGGTATTTTTAAATGCTATTTTCTGGCCAGTTGTGTTTCCGTAATTAGAGCTACGCCGATGTTCTTGTGCAGTAATAAAGCTGTTAGTTCGTCAACGTGATTTCTAACACCATTTGCATTCCAAAGGAGAATGTGAGTCATTAAGGATTTTTTTAAAGGAGGAACGAGGTGAGATAAGAGATATGTAAGGAATAATATGAGTGGAGTAACTTGGGATTTGAAATCGGTGAGGAAAGATGCTAACAAACTGGTGAAATCTGTTGCATTTGAAGGAGGAGGGATATGATAAATTTGTTGCTGATGATCAGGTATATTCGGATAGGGCTTGACATTTATCGGTTGAGTTCTTACATCTAAGTAGCTGGGAAAATGATACATTATTGTTAACTATTTTAGAAGGCTCTCTCTCTCTTCTTGGTCTTCCTGCTTCATGTTAAATCCGGTTTTTCTGGTGTCTGGATTTGAGATTCTTGTAAATTTCTTCTTTGTACGTGGCCGGGTGTCTCTCCAGGCATAGTGCACACACTGCAGGATCTTGTATCGGTTTGGTGCACTCCACAGATTTGTGCTGTTCACTGCATCTCACGCAACGCGGCAGATGGTGACAATAAGTCTTCGTGTAGCCATATGCCTGACAATTATGGCACTGCACGATTTGCCTCTAGGGGTATGGTTTCTCTACTTTCACCATTGTGTAATATAATCTTGTGATATCGTATATTTTTTCGATACCTGGTGATGGTTCCAAGTCTATGGAAAACAATGGTAGAGGGATTTTATTTCTTAACCCTGGCTGCTCTTCTTCTCCTTTAAGACGTTGGTTATTTGACGTACATTGAAACCAAGCGTTGTTGGTTCTTCTTTAATCACTTCAGTTGGAGTTGAGGAGTGTAAATTTCTTATAACTACTCGTAACGATCTCTCCTGCCTAAGCTGGTACGTAAGAAAATTGGCATTAGTTTCTGAGAGATGCTTCACTATTTTTCGGTAGGTTTCAGCAGTAGCTGGTGTTATTTTTGTATCGTTGGTCCTGTTAAGGCATGAATAACTGCTAGAGCAGATTTTATTTAGTTGGGTTCAGAACAACTGGAAATGTTTGATATTTTTCACAATTATCGGAGGAGCCATTGGTTCTATGGGTATAGCTGCAAACTCCATTACCTCTCGGTCATTTTGAAGCACTTGGTAGGGGTTTAGAGTAAAGAAAAGGGATTCTTCGATCATTTCTTCGAAAAAAGTTCCTGGTTGTAGCTGAGGTTCTGGTTCTGAAGTGTTCACTTTTGTTGTTGGAGATGTTTCTCGTAGGCAGCGACGAGTTCTTTGTTTGGCTGGTGAACTACGAGGTGTACTAACGCCGTCTGACCGGCGACGAGTACTCTTGGGTACCTTACCGGACATCACTTGGTGACTATACCGCATATCATAAGAGAAAAAAAAATTATTAAAGAAATATCAAACAGCAAATATCAACTGCTCTGATGTACACGTGAAATGTAATCAATAAAATACATAAAATAAAATAACGACCCGGGTGTCTGTTATTAGTTCATAACAGAATTTCTTCCTAGAATCACCTTAACCTGGTCACTCAGCCTCTGCGTGCTTATATTAACTTCTGGAAAATTCTCGCGCCAGTTTCTCTGTATACGGTTAAGATATCCCGTTTTTTCAGTTCCAAGATTTGTTGCCAAGTAGTATGCCCGAATGACAGCATTGTTATTATCTGGCGTCCATTTCATCCTCTTTGCACCTCTTGGTCTCTGTTGCCGAACTCGCGCGGTTGGAGAATGTCTCTCCTACAAGCTCGAACTCGAACTCGAACTGTTGGCCGGTAAACATTGCAGCCTTGCGGTCCGTGACGACAGGGTAGCGCCGCTCGCTCCACTAGTCCCGGAAGGAAGATTTCCACTATTCCCACCCGATGAAGCTTCAGTATCGAGCTCGACCTAGGCTAACCTTCTATTTCTTAGCTCCATATTTAATGGGTAAGTGCATTTTATACCTTCCTGCGAGGTTATTTAAACAGCCACTCCTGACATGGGGAACCGAGGCTGACAAGGTAGCGTCCCAATATGGGAACGTCGCACCTGGATTTTGTTAGTTTTGGTCCGCCCCGGATAGTGGATTTTTTACTTGCGTCTGCCATACGCATACTACCATTGCCAGCGAAATGCGGGCGATTCCGATTTTCAGATTTCTTTTTTTTTTATCTATGGGGATGCTATTATTATTAAGAAAGGTTTCATCCATCATCAAATTAGTTAAATTATGAACGAAAGAGGTTGATTTTTGACTTACCTACGCTTGACGGTTAAACGCGACATCCGGTTTGAAAAGATTTTTTGCCTCTGGTTGGAATAGTTTTATTTAGAAAAGATTCTTTCATCATAAAATTAATAAACTTAGAAGAAAAGCGGATGGATTTTGACTCACCTACGTCTACGTCTACGTTTTGATATTCTTCTCATCCTGGTACGGAAGGAAAACATGGTTATTTAGATAAAAGACTTCATCCACCCTGTCTCCAAACGTCCAATGCCCCAATTTTAGAGACCAGCATTACCCTTTCTGTGGGAAGGCACGAATAGATATAATTTAGTAATTTATATTAATTCGGAATAACTGGCCGAAAAAAAGTAAACATCACAGTAATAACTCTCTATGCTGTTCACTCCTGATGTCCCATTCGATATTGAAGAGTTATTTAAGAAACCACTTTGGACCTTGAAGACACCATTTATGCTCTAAGAGCCACTTCTGATGCGTTTGATAGTGTACGTCTGATAAATCAGAGAGAAACCAATATGGAAACCCAAAAATGTCTTCATCAAATCATTACTTTAAATTATAATTCTTGTTTTTGTTGTATGTTTTTCAGTGAACAACGTAGGGATGGCTAGAACAACTCCAGGGGAATATAGTACAGTTGATGAAGATTTTATTTGGAACGAAATTGATGTCAACTGCGGTACTACATGTATTATGACGAGAATCCTATTACCATTAATGATACCAAAAAGGAAAGGCATAATTGTAAATATAAGTTCGATTTCTGCAGAAATGGGTTCCCCTAGCATGGGAATATATGGACCCAGCAAGGTAACTAATACACCAGGCCTTAAATTAAATATCATAAAAGAGGGTGTGAAGAGGGTAATATAATTAGTTGGAACTTTCCGTAATTTATTGAATCAGTTTACGATTGAGCAAATAGATGAATAGATATATATATATATATATATATATATATATATATATATATATATATATATATAATTATCAATAAAAAGTTTATTGTGGAAGGATAGGTATCTGGATTGCGCCAAATCAGAAACATATGGAATATTTAGGTTATGGATGATTATATTTGTAACAAAGTAAGGAGTATAGAGGATTATATATATATAAAGATAGTACAGAATTGAATTATCTTAGCACATTAAGGTACAATCCTCTCGTATTTAATGCGGTAATGGAGTTTCTGAAACAAGTGTCAACATCTATGGTGGGGTAGTGGCACCAGGTATCCGGCGTAAAATGAATATGATATTGTTTAAAAAGTATACTTGATAATAGTGGATCCAATAAAATCCTTGACAATAAGTATTTTAAGATACAGTATTTAAAATACCAAGTATTTTGTTTTTTTTAAATATATTGTAATTTAATTAAAAAGTACCTATTTAAATTGTTTTGAGAAAAAATATTTCAAATATAAAATATTAAATGACATTGTTTTATTAATTTTTTTTATTTGATATTCTAGCTTTAGTCATTTATATCTTACAGTTTTAACAGAATACCAGTAGCAGAATGGCCAGAAATAGATGTTGCTGGGCGCTCGGAAATGCCACCCTGGCAGTTAAAGAAGGCCGTATATGTCAGCGTTATTAGACCAGTGGTGACATATGAAAGTGAGACATGGGTCCTCACCAGGAAGTCAGAGTAAGTACTGAGCAAGTGGGAGAGGAAAGTCCTGAGAAGGAGTTTTGAGCCCTTGAGGGAGGGAGATCGGTGGAGGCAGAGAAACAATCATGAACTCCGTGATCTATACAAAGTCCCGAATATTGTCACCTGCATCAAGACGGGTAGAATTAGGTGGCTGGGAAATTCGCCGAGAATGGAGGAGTGGCGTATCCCGAAGAAGCTTCTGGACGGACACCCTGGTGGAGGACGAAGTAGAGGGCGTCCCAGATTACGGTGGCTGGAGGACCTGGAGAAGGGCCTGAGGACACTTGGAGTCCAAAGGTGGAGAAGAGCGGCTTTACAGGGACGAATGGCTGAGAATTGTTGAGGGGGCAAGGGTTATGCAAGGACCATAGTGCCATCGAAAGAAGAAAGAAACCAATAGCAGATCCAGGATTAAATTTTGGTGGGAGGCTTTAGTCCGAAAGCTTTTTTTTTTTTTTTCATGTTTATGATGTTAATTCATATTTATTTGGAAAAAAAGAAGCTAACTACAAATATGAAATGGTGTTGAAGTGATTCTTGAAGTCCTATTAAAATGTAATTACACGAAGAATAATACTATTAGGGGTAATTTTTTTAAAAAAAATTCATAAGACATGGTTATACTCTTCCATTTTTGGGAGGCTTCAACTTGAAAGCAACACTGTAGATCTGCCTGTGGCTGCCACATATATTCAGTGTAATCCTGGCAACATTGTCTGATCTCACCGCCATTCATATCATCCAATTTCATTGTAGTACATTCCTTTAATCAATTTTCATAATTACGGGAGACACAATGCTCCCAGACTATTTCGTAAATTAATTATGTCCATAATTTTAATTATTATTGTTTTATTGTTTTTTTTTTTTTTTTTAGTGCTTCATAAATATGTTTTCAAGTTGTTTGCGAAAAGAAGTAGAATGTTACAATGTAAAAGTCAAATGCATGACTCCAGGATTTATTAAAACTAACATGTCAAAATTATCGCATTCATTCTTCGAAAAATTCCCAATACTTGCAAAAATAATATTTCCTGATGCCAAATCTTATGTAAAAAGTGCAATTGAGTCGTTTTATGAAGATGATCTTATGGCGACAGGATATTGGGGGCATACGTTGATGGTAAATCTTGAGTATCATTATATTTTTCATACTTAATAAACATTATTTTTTATTTTTATCTTCTTGGAATTTTCACATTCCGTACTTCTCTTTCATGATTTTTTTCTGTCTACGTTCTATTCTAAAGGTTAGTCTTTTTTCTTCCAATTCCCCTATCTATTGCCTAGCTGTTCCTAAACCCTGACCGTAATCTCGATATCTTTGATTTCATCATTCTCAGTGGTTTAGGTTCACTCAACTGTTCCTTGCCATGTCTTGATGAACTTTTCTTACACCATATTCCATTAAAACTCTTGGTTTAACTAGCTACTATTTCTAAACCATCTCCACCGTCCTTCATCAAAGGCCCAGTTAACTGAAAACTTTTGTGAAATCCTTCAAGATAGTATTGACTCCAGAATAACCACGAAAATCACAGACCTGCCTTACATTGACCTTGACAATGCCGTACATTCCTTTACCACCACAATTGAATGAATGAATGAATCCTGAATTAATAAATTTATGTATTTTCTCAAAATTAAATTACATAATTATTTTAATTATATATATATATATACAATAAATAAGCATGGACATTGTCCGTCTGCTTGGAATTAGCTGTACCTGTTGCTCTTGCTAGTGAAAACAGTTCAGTACACATTAACGAAAATAGAATAATAATAATAATAATAAGGCTTAGCGAACCCGAAGGTTCGATGCCGACACCACCAATCGCTTGTTACACACCTTCCTCCACCGTTCGCCGTCCAAACCCAGTCCCTTCAGATCGGCTTTAATGCAATCTTCCCACCTTCGCTTCGGTCTACCCCTCGGACGCTTACCATTCGGCACAGCAAATATTAACCTTTTCGGAATTCTCTCGTTACTAAGCCCAACAACTTTACAAGCCCATTTGATTCGCCGCGATGAAATTACCTCAATTATATTACCCGGATACAGCTCACGCAATTCGGCGTTGTGTAACCGTCTGAACTCTCCGGTTAACTCATCCTTCTTCGGTCCGAATATTCTACGCAATACTTTATTTTCAAAAACCTTAAGACGCTGCTCATCCCTTAATGTAAGCGGCCAAGTTTCGCATCCATAAAGAACTGTAGGCAAGATAATTGTTTTATAGATTCTAATTTTTAAGTTCCGGGACAAGAGGCGCGAACTTAGTTTTGTCACAGAAAAATAACAAGCATTTCCCGCCTTCAGTCTAACCTTAATCTCTTCTTCAATTTCGTTTTCTCTAGTTATCGTAGAACCTAGATACCTAAATTTATATACCTGTTCAAACATATTACCATCTATATCGATATCACCAGTAGTATCGCCATTTATGCAGCTAACCATATATTTTGTTTTATCCACGTTTATTTCGAGTCCTAGTTCTTTACCGGCTTTCATTAACGTTGTCGTATTTAGTTTTATAGTTTCAACGTCTTCCCTTAACAGTACCAGATCATCAGCATAGCCCAGCACAGATGTTGTCCCGCCCAGATGAGATGTTGTCCCGCCCAGATCTAACCCTTTCTCGGTTCGCATTACCTCCCTAATGGCATGTTCTAATGCCAAGTTGAACAGGACAGGCGAAAGAGAATCCCCCTATTTTAAGCCCGAACGAACCTCAAATTTTTCGGACAAATTATTACCGATTCTAACTTTATTGAGTGTCTCCGGCAAGTACATCCTGACAAGATTTGCTAGTTTTTTTGGAATCGCCTGCTCGATTAGAATATTATACAGTTTCTGGCGGTCAATAGAATCGTAAGCCTTATTAAAATTTATATACAGCTGGTGAACAATACCTTTATACTCCAATTTTTTCTCTAATATTTGCCGTAAAGAAAATATTTGATCAATAGTCGAACGATTCCATCTAAATCCGCATTGGTAGTCTCCGATAATTTCCTCGGCGTATTCCGTGATTCGACTGGTTAAGATTAAAGTGAATATTTTATAACATACCGGGAGGAGTGAAATTCCTCGATAGTTATTACAATCCGTCCTCGGACCCTTTTTGTGAATCGGAATAAGAATAGATTCTTTCCATTCTTCAGGTAATTTCTCGTTCACCCAGATCTTTTTAACCAACCGATGTATTTTAGAAACTTCAGCTTCCCCGCATGCCTTAATTAGTTCAGTAGGAATATTATCGATTCCCGCTGCTTTATATGGTTTTAATTTTCCGATAGCTACTTCAACTTCCTCTTTACTTGGTCCTTCTATAAACGAAAATAGAAACAGAAGTGTTAGAAGAAAAAAAAAGCACCAGAGTTAAATATTATCAAGTCAGAATTATTACGTACACACGCACGCACACACACACCCCTCTCTCCACACACACACAAACACACACACACATACACATATATCATGTTGTTTACCACCACAATTCAAAAATTGAAAAATCTCCTGAAACGAATCTATTTCTTTATATAACCCCAAGATCTTCCTTCACATCAGTTCGGATTTCTTTCGCAACATTCCACAATCTAACAAGGGCTCCGGCTGTTGATCTTCAGTTCTAAAAAGCAAGCAATATTGCTCGGATGCATTTCTGGACATGGCACAAGCTTTTGAATGGGTGTGACACGTCGGGTTGCTTTTCAAGCCAAAAATCCGTCTAACTCAGTGCTTATACCTAAATCTTTGTTTCTATATTTTTGACCGCTCCTTTCTAGTTGGCTGAGGTACAGAACTTTCCAATTGCTATCCAGTTGAGGCTGATGTTCCACAAGACATTGTCTTGGCTTCCGTCATTTATATCTTCTTCGCTACAGATACCTTCCTGGCAACATTATTTGATGTCGCCGCCATTCTATCATCCAACTCAGATACTGAAATAGCATCCTTGAATCTACAGAGGCACATCTCCTGGATTGAACATTGGTGTTATAATCGACGCATCAAATTAAATTAATCTAAATGTAAATATGTCATCTTCACCTTTTGACGGATTTCATGTCAGCCAATTCATTTTAACCCAAACAACGTAGTCAAAAGACTAACATGGAACCCACATTCTAGACTTAAAAGACAAAAATTTAACAGACGATGAGGCCAACTGGACTACAGACTATTAAATCACTAATCTATTAATCCCAATATAAAAAAAAAGGAAACCATAGATGGGCATAATCATAATCAACGATTATGATTACGACTACAATTACGATTATATTCAAAGAGATTTTTTATTTCGATTATAATTGCGTAATTATGTAATCATAATTCTGTAATTATAACCATTGTAATTGTTATCATGTAATCATAAACGCGTAATCGTAATAAAAAAAATCAAATAAACACGATTTTCCTCCGTTTAGGGATAGACTAAATGGTAAACGAGTATATTTTTTTTTTAATTTTATTATAGCTGTCGGGAGCGATTTCTATGATAATACCGACGGTTTAACATTTAACATTTTGCTAATTTTCATTCACTTCTCCTCTTTTATCTCATGAACGAATGCTCGGCTTTTCACTTCTCCAACAGTTTTCCGACTATGTAGATGTATTCGAAAATGAGGAAATGGAGTAGAAATTTTTATTCGATTTTTCTCTTTTATCTCGTGAAAGAATGCTTGGTTTTTAACCATGCCAACTGTTTCCAGACTATGTAGATGTTGGCGAAAATGGGGAAATTGTGTAGGAATTTTGTTTCGAATTTTCATTCGCTTTTCCTCCTTTATCTCGTGAACGAATGCTTGGTTTTTCAAAGTGTCAACTGTTTTCCGACTGTGTGCATGTAGGCGATAATGGGGATATGGTGTAGAAAACTTTTCGAATTATCATTCGCTTTTCCTCTTTTATGTCGTGAACGAATGCTTGGTTTTTCACCGTACCAACTGTTTTCCGACTATGTAGATGCAGACGGAAATGGTGTAGGAAATTTTTCGAATTTTCATTCACTTTTCCTCTTTTATCTCTGAAATGACGGGTCAGTTTTTCACCAATTTTCTGGATATGTAGAGTTAAGTATAAATAAGGAAATGGTGTAGAAAATTTTTTTTCAATTATCATACGCTTTTCCTCTATTAACTCATGAATGGATACTCGGTTTATCACCGTGCCTACTGTTTTCCGACTGTTTACATGTAGGCAATAATGAGGAAATGGTGTAGAAAATTTTTCGAATTATCATTCGCTTTTCCTCCTTTATCTCGTGAACGAATGCTTGGTCTTACACCGTACAAACTGTTTTCCGACTATGTAGACGCTTTTCCTCTTTTATCTCTGAAATGAAGGGTACGTTTTTCACCATTTCACTCATTTTCCGGCTTTGTAGAGTTAAGCAACAATAAGTAACTGGTGTAGAAAATTTTCATACGCTTTTCCTCTTTAAACTCGTGAATGGATGCTCGGTTTTTCACAGTCGAACAATTTTATAACTTTTTAGAAATAGGCAAATGGAAACAAGAGTTGTACAAATTTTCATTCGCTTTTCCTCTTTTATCTCATGTATGAATACATGGTTTTTCACCGTTCAAACAGTTTTCCAACTATGTAGATGCAGGCAAAAATGGAGAAGTGGTGTTGAAAATTTTCCAAATTTTTCGCAGTGTTCTTCTGATCTACATAGTCGGAAAACTGTTGGAACATTGAAAAATTGATCCTTCATTCCCGAGTTAAAAGAGGAAAACCGAATGAAAATTTGAAAAATTTGTACCATTCAGTTACAAAATGATTGGAACGGTGAATAAACGATACTCTATTCACGAGTTAATAGAGGAAAAGTGTATGAAAATTAGAAATTATTTTTACACCATTTCCCCATTTTCGCCTACCTATACATAGCCGGAAAATGGTTGAAACGGTGAAAACCCGATCCTTTATTCCGAAATAAAATAGGAGTAGTGAAATATAATTCGGAAAAATTTCTATACCACTTCCCCATTTTTCTCTACCTTTACATGGCCGGAAAATTATTGGAACGGTAATCCGTAAAATCGATTCATGATTCCAGAGGTATAATAGAAAAAGCAAAAGAAAATTCTGAAAATTGTCTACAC